GCCCCGCGGGCCCCCCCGGGCAGGGAGGTCCGGGCGGTTGAGCTTCCTTCGGCAGGGGCTGTTTTCACCCCGTGCAAGCAGACAGCCTGCGCCCGTCCTTTCACCCCTTGTTTTCATCCACCCTGGGCAACTGCTGAGCCTGCCTTAGGGCTCCAAAGCTGCTTTTAAGGCTGAAATTTGGCCTCGAAGACGCATTTTCCTTCAGTGGTGCGTTGAATTTGAACCCTGTTTGAACGGGCACTTTCCCAGGTCCATATCTGCTGGCAGGAAAAAACTCAGAATGTCTTCGGACAAGACCTCCCTGTTGGGAGTAATCTCCACTCCTGACCACTGAGAAGCGGGGTTCTGACACGAGAGTTACCAATCCGCCAGCTGGAGATTAAACCACAAAGTAGTCTCAACAAAATTCTGAGCAACGTTGCTCCAGCCCTTGTCCAGCGAAAGGATGCCTTCCCTGGCAGAGCCATATCCCTAGTCAGGCACAGATACAGCCCCTGACGCCAGCAGAGTCCAGACCCTCCTCCCTCAGCACCCCAGGAAATGCATCATGTTGGAGTCGTGGTGTGGTGCTCACTGCAGTGGAAAGACAGATATTTAGCAGATACCGCAGCATGAATATTTCTTATGAGCCCAAAGCAGTTTTCCCTTTCCCAGACACAGTCACTTCAGAAGTGTCTTTTAGCTGTCGCCAAGGCTGTAGCTACCAGCAAAGCTTAAAACAACAACAAACAGAGGTGTATCATTTCTTTTAAATCCTTTAGTCTGCCGCTTTCTGATGTCTTCAAATAACTAACCAAGTAATTTCATCAGATTGAAGTGCAGCTAGGTGTAGCTGAAGGGCATTTATAAATGAGAATTCAGATATGTTATGTTCAAAACAATGCATAGTTTAGCCATACTTTTCCTATGATACTTCTCACCATACATTATAAACAATTTGTGTCATGGACTGTATCTTCAGTTCTGTTTGTAGACTATCTTACAAATGAGGCCTGTATGTGGTCTTTGGATACTATTCCACTATTCCGTAGCTGTAGCAGCCAATTTACTCCTTATCAATACTGGCTCATTCAAGATCCCCATAGTAATGCATAAGACCTGTGACACGGTATAGGCTGTAAAACATGTACCATCTTTTAAGTTAAAAGTATCTTTCTCTCATTATGTATGATAATACTTCACAATGGAGTATTTATACAGTGTTTTTATAAGCTTGCATAAAGCATTCCATATTTGCAGTAAAAAAAAGTCAACATTGGGCTGACAGTCTAAATACACTTGTTACGAATGTAGCCTTCTTTTTTTTTCTTTCTTGAATGCATGCACAGAGTCTCCATTAGTACTACTGGAAAGTATCTTCATGAAGAAGAGAGCAAACTTTTTACTGCATTTTGTAAATTCTTTAAAGAAATGTTAAAATATGCTGAATGTATATTTAAACTGTGCTGAAATACACCACCTCTGTTGATTTTAAATCATAGTCAGGTATAAATTGACAACATGCATACATGCTGGCTGCACCCATTTCTAAATTTCAAATGCAGAACCCCCCAAAATTTGTTTTCCATTAGTGCCATACAACACTAAACTTAGCAAATATTGCATGGGATCAAATGAAGGCAGAATATGACCTACAGATCCTCTTTCCATTCATATGAAACTTCCTTAATCCTTTTGCTGAATATGAGCTGTTCAGTAGAGATATATTATTATTGAATATGGTTTAAATAACTATCCAGCACTTTCTGTATAATTAATATTGCATTTGTTATACCTGAAAGTACACAATCTATACTTTCAACTCAATTTGTCAAGCTGGATACAATACAACAGGCTGTAAAGTCCACCCAGTACCTTAAAGCAATAACGTATTCACAAGTATTGCTCTCCAATTTATCAAGCAGGCAGGATAGGTTCTTTGCCAACACTGGTGACTACAGCACGCCAAGCTATCAGAAGCAATGTGTTGTAAAATCACCAATAACAGGAGCCTAGTTTCAATCTAACAGTTCTCCATTTTTGTGATCTACAATATAATCATGACCCTGATGTTTCCTCATCGCCCATCACTGATATAACACAAAGCAACATTTGCATCCATATTTATGTAATGGTGGAAGAAAACCAGGTCCAGAAGTTCTTCAAAGCTGAAGTTTTCTGTCCCACTGAATCCCTTTTAACTGGCTTCCTGTGGGACAACAGGTATTGATTGAGATAGAGAGAGTAACAGCCAATTAATCAAATATAAATTCTCTCAAGTGATGATCATACAGAGAGGAATCTGTGTTACCTTTTCTAATGCATCTTAATACCTATCACACATTTCTGGATGCATAATTTACTTATGCATGTTTTAATTATGTGAGACAAAAATATATTATATTACCCTCAGATATTAAAATAAATTAAAAATAAATAAGGAGTCTGATTTTAGCTGACAACTTTAAAAATTATCTTGAATTTGTGCTGCTTGAACATGTGCTGCAGAAATGATATATTACTTCTAAAAAGTACACATTTACATAAACGAGACAAAAGGAACTACCTGACACAAGATGACTTGTTCTGGTTAATAAATAAAAAATACCAAAGGTCTGGACACTCCTGAAGCGGACAAAATGAATGTCAGATATGTAGTTTCAAAGTAATGAAGACTACAAGCTAACTTAATAAACTGTTATTAAAAAAAATTAGGTATTGGAAAACATCTCCAGCAAATTTGTTGATGTACTAGTTCAAAAACTTAATTGTTCAATAAAGCCAACTAACTGGAAAGGTTTAACCAACGAAGGGCACAGATACCAGGTTTATATAAGAAAGTTAATTAAAAATGTGCATCATTTTAAGCAATCAATTGGAATGAGCATGGTAGCTTGGGTTGTTTGTCCGAGGTCAATTAGCATTTCTAAACAGTTTTGGAAAGATGTCAGACATCTTTGTTGATACCAATAATCAAATTCATCCTTGATGCAACTTCCCTGCAATAAGTACAATCACATCACTGATTAGTTTGGCACTTGATCTTCTCTGGACTGGCTCTTCATCAGTGGAGTCTTCCCAGAGAAAGAATAGCTGATACCAGGTTTGTTTTGCTCTTTTTTTTTTTCTGGCAAATCTGCAGACAGTGAAGGTACAAGGGAATGACATCTCCCACAAGCTGCAGATTTCAAAAGTGAGGAAAAAGGATGAAGGCTTATACGAGTGCCGGGTGACCGATGCCAACTATGGAGACCTTCAGGAATACAAGGCCCAGGCATTTCTCAAAGTCAACGCTAACAGCCACTCTCGGCGAATGCAAGCCTTTGAGGCATCTCCAATGTGGTTGCAAGACATGAAACCTCGCAAAAATGTATCAGCAGCTGTTCCAAGTAGCATCCATAACTCTGCCAATCAGCGTGTGCGTGCCACCTCCAGCCCTGAAGCAGCAGCCAAAATCCCCAAACAAAGTCCACAATCAGGTATGGTAAAGCATTTTGTGCATTTCATTCGATTGCTTACCAGCATGTAAAAGGAGGCTTACTCAACCAGGTAACCAGGAAGTGTGACTAGGAAGAGTGTGGTGCTCATCTATTCCTCCTTCTTTCTGGCTTTATCCCTCCTGCTGTCTCCTTACTTACTAAAAGCTGAAGAATAAGTTTCTGTGCAGAAGAAACAAAAAGCCTTAAACTCCTGTACCTGGATTTTATTTCAACTGGTTTTATCCACCTAAGGTTAGCTCTCTAAATAAAGCTTAGCGTTCCCTGTAGTGGGGGGGAAGGGTGGGGCGCATGTCAGTGAATGACTCACTTCATTTTAAGATGTCTGTGCATGATAAATTAAATAAAACACCCATCTGGAAGTGTTTCTTCCTAAGTCAATTCATGCCAGTCACTTAACTTTTCTATATCTAACATTTGGTGAAATCAGTCTACTTTTATTATCAATCCTATTTTCATAAAGAACTAGACTTCTAAATCTAAGCAGACCTTAGATACACCAGATATTGTTTCTCTGTTGTGTAGACTTTAGAAAGACTGTGAGTTTTTCAGAGAATGTGCATTTGTCATCTTCAGCTGCTTGATCATAGGCTTTGAATTAAGCATTAAAATAGCAGTGCCTCAATTATCTGTCATGTAGAGATTAACATACTACACATTTTTGTTTGGGAGATTTTGTACAGCACTGGATAAACAACCTATAACCAACAGAAGTCTGCGTTTTTTACATTGATACAGTAAATTTGACAGTTATGCAAAGGTACGTGAATATAGAGGAGGTGCAACTGTTGACCACTCTATGATGGCAATAGAGAGGTGGACAGGATAAAAAATTGAGTAGTGGTAAATGATCAAAAATCCTCTGGGAAACAAACTGTGCAAGTTTAAGGGTTTCTGGGTTACTTCTATTGACACTGAGAACCCAATGTAAAGCAGGAGATCACAGCCCAGCTTAAAATAGATAATGGAAGATAACCTAGTTTGTACTGATGCATCATTCTACTGCTAACAAATCCCATGTCATCAAAATTAAAACTGGGAATACAACACTTCATAGAACAACTACTGTGAAATCACTTTCATCTTACAAGCATGCTATTAGAAAAATATTTTAATAAGGAAAATGCATTTTTTTACAGATTGGTACAATATGCTTATTCATATGAAAATTATTATTGCTATTAGAAAAGATGATGCACATACTACCACCATTTTTCCTCTGTATACATTTTTTTTTTAATTATTTAAAAGCTACATTCGCTTCTCTTTCTCTGAAGTGAAGCCACTTTCATTTTTTAGCTCTTCCAAAAATGTTTGAGCTATCAGAGGAAAAGGACTATTTCAACTGATTTAAAATCATCATTTTACCATGGCTTTCCTTTCAGAGAAATGTATATACCGTGTATTTTCCACTGGATTCATACATTTCAAAGTAGCAGATTTGTCCATAAAATGAAAACTCTGTTTTTTGTTTAGTTCTATGTGAATTTAATTAAAATAGTTGCAAGTTTATGATACAGACTGCACTGCATTGGGGCCAAAGTGCGTGAACAACAGTAATACACTTAATCACTTTGGATTTATAATGGAATCTATAGTATTGTTTATGTCTTGCCTGATTACTGGACATTTATTATTTGAGAGCTAGTAGGTTATTACATGTAAAAGGCCCTGTAAAAAAAATAAAAATAAAAACTTCATCTCTTTTATTCTTGAGCAAAGATTACTGCAGATCAAGTACACACAATCTCAGTGATAAATAATTTAAATATTAAACAGATTAGAATATAAATTAGTTTATTAATTTGTTTGCTTTATGATGAAGTACAGATTAATCCTGTATTCATCAGAGGTGAAACTCATCTACTGAAAAAACAGACTGTACCAGTAGTCTACATTAGGCTTAATTTCAATTTAATGGTCACTTACTACACAGTTATTACTGGTGATATTTTGTGTGAATATCAGTTTAACTCTTGAGAACCAAGATTTACCTTCCTTTTCTTGTGAAAATCTGGGCCTAATTTTCCAGCTACAGTGTAATTTGAATTTTCACTCCATTTTATACTGACTCTAGACCAATAGAAATACCTACAGAAGCATGAGGCAGTGGGGCTTTTTTAGCTCTACATAACTTTGAGGAGCATCTTTATCTGAGGAAAGAGAGACACCAGTTGTAAGATCTCAGAAAAGCAGAAAGGAGATGTCGTAGACAGTAACAGTCTTTCTTTTCATGATATCAAATCAAAACAATCTCTATATGCTATCAAATGACTCTTCCTTTCTTTGACACCATGCTAACTATATTTGCATGCACAAGACTGCTGTGTCATGACATTACATGTGAGCAATGTATCCATCCAGCCTAGAACACAGAAACATGGTTGAATACCCATTAAACACACATTTATTTTTGAAAGACGTATTAGATGGTTCTAATGTATTTGGTCATGTTGAGTAACACATTGACTTCAGCAATACTGTTTGAAGAGAGAAGTACTATTAACCCTAGGCAATTTTATAAAATAATCTCCAATATTAGAGAGCTGGTGCTTAGTTATTGGCAAGCAACAAATTTTAGTGCCATGCTTATAGACTATTGCAAAATACATTTACAGCAGAGGGAACTGACACTGCGAAATTACTGGGCAATCTGCGTTCAGCTATTTCTGAAGAACTCCTCTACTAGTATAAGAAAGATTGACTTCAATTATATGAATATTTTTGTCCCCAAAATTTATTTTTCAAAGGTAGATAACACTTAACTCCTTCTATCCTGAAGCACACTGCAGAGTTACATTTATTTCTTTACAGTAGATATTAATAGGTAGCTCTAGGAAAGCAGTGTACAGTCACTGCCATTTTAAAATATTAGCATTTCCAAAATGAACAGATGTTTCTGTCATTCTTTCTTTTTACTCAAAAGTAAGAATACTTGTGATAATTATGAGGGGACCATATAGCAAGGCTGAAAAATTAATGTGATCTGAGGTCCATTTACCATTTTGTGCTGCTCTGAAAAATGCCGTGTGAGTGCAAGCAAGATATTTGTTATTGTCAGTGTAATGGATATTCAATATAGGAAGAAAGTGCTAAAGAGAATGTCGCCAACAGTCAGTCTTCAAATAATATACTGAGAAGCACTAAATGTCTACCTCAGAGTTAGAAAAGTCAGGAAAGCAAAAGTCAAAGCTAACACAACTTGACCCTTTCATTTCATGTTCGTGGGCTGCAGCAAATGAAGTAAGCCATCACAGTTTAACAGGAATCTGAGTAATTTGACAGGTTAATCTGCTTATGTCCAGAAAACGTCCTATGTAGGTGGAGTGACACACATTTTTTTTTCTGCATAATTCATAAAAACATATATTGGTCCAAAGATAAAAGTACAGAGTTATCACAGGGCCTTGTAACTCTAAGCAATGTTGCAACTAGCTGAGGTCCAAGAGCTGCAATGAATTAAAGTAAAAGAAAGCCAAATAATCGACAGGCCGCACAAAATCGCAGTTTCATGTATATAAGTCTAGACAAAATATGCTACCTGCATTCAAGTCACTCAACATTTATAGCAACATAAACGGCTGCAGAATTTGAAGTGCTGAAAATGCGTATATGCCCCAACACTCTTCCTGTTCTGCCAATACTCTGTTAAAGCACTCGAAGCGGTTAGTTGCTTTTCAGACTCAAGAAGACGAGGCTCAGGGAACTCCAGAGGGAATAGCTACAAATAAAGAAGTGACATTAGGTCCATTTTCTGACTGCTTAAATACAAACAACACATTTCTAGAAACTTTTTGTTCTTTCCTGAAGTAATAAATTCATCAATTCACCTAACTACATGCCGAAACTGTTCCTGTGATGATGGCAGAGTTGCATTGAGTGACTTGAAAAGGGGCACAGTGGAGAAGGTGGTCCTTACCCAAGACAGAACCATCTGGGTTCTTGGCATTATAAATCACGCTAAGAAACTGATCATCAGGCGTGAACGCAAAAGAAGAGGATACAGCTAAACTGGTGACATTCCTTCCAGTCGCCATTTATATGTACAGAATCCAGGAACCTTTTATTACAACCTACTGTAAGCACAAATGTTATGTCCAGTTTGGAATCTTCTGGGCTATAAACCAACTTCTGTGTTGTTTTTTTTTTTTTTCTTTTATGTTACATCTCCTCTTAAAGTGAAGTGAAGGGATAAGAAATCTGCTCTAACCTCTACCAAGGTGACAGCCAGCATTACTGCTTTCTTCACTAAGAGAAAGACTTTGTCTTTTGAGGCTGCTCTTTTGGAAACTGAGTAGCCGTCAGGCTGGGAGGCACCGACCTTCACTGTGATTGTTGCACAGCAAAATGTCAAGTCTCTGTGTCCTTAGAACTACACTAAAGGACAAGCCAGATGAGAGTTTTGTTCTTGTTCTGAACCTTGATCATCTCTTCTCAGAAATTCTTGCAAAAAGATAGTGCAAGGACTGTCTTATTTTACATCTGTATACACTACAATCCCTGTTTTTACTTGAAAGTCACACTTTGATTCTCTCTTCCTGAAATGAAGTCACTCTAATTTTTTTTCTTCTTTGAAATAATGGAATGAATTCTAACCATGTTAATTGATGTAGCCCTATTAGCCAGTTAGTTGTTGACCTTGAATCTGTAAGCATCTTCTGAGAAGATCTAATCTGCTCCAGATAACTTCATTGACAAGGCAAGGTCTTAATGGCAGCTAAACCCTTTTTTTTTAGGCCAGGATTTCAAATGCAGGATGAACTCCCGACTGCCTTATGTTTCCTTCAAAAAACTCACATCTTAATTTCTCAGGTGTGCATACTTACCAACAAGACCAAATCCAACATCACTATGCCTACTAAACCATGTCCTGAAGTGCCACATCTACATGTTTCTTGAACACCTCCACGGATAGTGACTCCACCATTTCCCTGGGCAGCCTGTTCCAGTGCCTGACCACTCTTTCAGTAAAGAAATTTTTT